TGTAAGTCAAAGGTTTTCAGAGATAAACCTGCAAGTTTTTCATAGCTTTGAATTTAGTAGAGGACAGAAAACTTTGCTATTTGGATGTAAGTGATGGTCTTAGCATCCCTCAAAGAATTGTTTTAAAGATTCATTCATATTTTGTCAACTGAAAGGACCAGTGTAAACACATAAGATATTTTGGTATGCATTAATTTGTATTTTGGGCTGTATAAAAAATTTCAGTACCTATTTTTTGTGTTTTAGCTTCAAAAAGTGAAATTATTCAAAATATCATCTCCTTAAAAACCGTTACATTTTTTTATGCCATAAGTGCCCATGTAAATAGTCCATGTTAAAACTTTTTCCAGAAGGGGTTACAGAACACAATGGACCAGCCTAGGCTGTAAGAAGGAATGTCTTTTTTTATTGGAGAAGAAAGACGGTGAAGTTTGCATTTGAAGGACCTCAGTGCACTGTGTATGGGAACCATCATGGCATGAACAGGGGTGGCAGGGAGATTCTTGCTCAGTTGCCACGGTTGAGGGTCAAGGCTAAGTTCTGAAGGTTTCAGCTCTGACCCACAGATGCAGAGGTGTCCGAGGCAGCAAACAATGGAACACTCGGGTTCTTAAAAATGGCCAGAAGGCAGGGACTCCAGTCTGTGTCTTCATCACAAGCAGAGCATCCTGGGCTTCCCACACCCTCTGTACCAAGTATGCTGGAGAAAGATTGGCTGCTGAATCTCTTGGGTTTTCCCATAACAAGACGTTCATCTCTTGAGGCTATCCTGGTGAGCCAAGCGGTACAGAAATCCATTCTAATTAAATATACAGGTCTCTAGGGGGAGATGCCTTCATTACAGGGGCTTATTTCAGGGAATGTAGATATGTGCATATCTATATTTCAGGGAGAGACTCTAGACTCTGTTTGCAGCAGGCATGCGTACCATCCCTCCCTTTCCCACTCATCTTATGTCTCGATATCTGGAGACTCACACAGAACAAATCCCTTGGGACTGAACATACTTTCAAAGGTGTGAAGTGAAACCCTCTGCAAACTCCAGTGTCTTCCATCATGGGTTCTGCTCTCAGCTCACTATAGCTTGAAATTCCAGGGACCATCTAACTAAGCACCTGCCCAATTAGGTTTTAATGAGTGCTTTCTGATGACAGAGATAATGAGCATTACAGCCACCCTGGAGAAGCACTACTTTTTCCCTCCCTTTCAAATATAGGTCACATAAGAAAAGTGAGACAATATATAAGTGGACGCCATGTAGTCTTCCTCTTGACTGCTTTTAGAAATGAAAGATGATTATCTAAACTTAGGTGTCAAATCTGACATAAAAAGTTACACTCAAAATTTCTAAGCTGACTCATTAAACAGACTCTGCCAAAGAGGTAAGGAGCTATTTCTAGAAGATTCCAGAGGTGTATTGGAAGCAGTATTGTTTCGACTTCTGGTCTGTTCTAGAGGAGAACTAATCACAGGTAACAAGTGGCCAGGGTGCTCATGTTAGGCCTGTTCCCTTTCCACTTGTATTTCAGGATAAGTGGAGGAAAGAGAAACTTGCTGCTTGGCTCCTACAGAGCAAGTAAAGGATTCAGTTAGTAAAGGATTCTGGGCAGTTAGGCAGATAGCCAGGAAAATAAAAGGGTGGGGGGTAAAAGTTATGTGTAATCATAAGAGTTTAGTTAGTCAAAATCAGGCTCTGACATCAAAGACCAATGACATTGTCTTTAAACAGGGCCTTGTGTCCTGCAGGCTGGCCTCAAACTCCCTATATATTTATTGCCAAGGATCAGCGTGAACTTCTGATACTGATGTTCCACACCAAGTGCTAGGGATACATGCCTATGCCATCATGCCAGGACTTCCTTATGCTAGGCAAGCATTCTACCAAATGAGCCACATTGCAACCCCACAATAATTATTTTTTCAATTTATGCCCTGTCGATTCTTTTTGTTTCAAATAAATAAGAACATATGGGAAAAAATTTCCACTCATGCAAGAAAAATTAAGTATTACTATGGTGATTCCCAAGGAACGTGTTATGGTGGTTTTAATGGGAATGGCCCCCAGAAGCTCATATATTTAAATGCTTGATCTCCAGTTGGTGGAACTGTTTGGGAAGGATGAGGAGGTGTGGTCTTGTTGGAGGAGGTATGTCGCTGGGGGTGGACTTTGTGCTTTCAGAAGCCTACATCATTGTTAGCTTTCTTTCTTTCTACTTTGTGCTTGGAATGGAGCTCTCAGCTGCTATGCCCATGCCATGCCTGTCTGCCGGCAGCCATACCCACTGCCACGACGATCATGGGCTTGAACTCTCTGGAAGACAGGTGTTTACACAGCTGCCTCTACTGGAGCGTTGACCTGCTGTTAGGGATAGCTATGGACCTAGCCAGGGTCATCTTCCTCTCTTGTGGTTCAGGTGATAGGTAGGTTTTTGAACCAATTCCTTGGAGAAGGTGGCTAGGAACTCATGATCACCCTGGACATTTTCCCGATTCTCGTAGTACAATGCTGCTTGAATATGAAATGTTCCCACAGGCTCACGTGTTAGAGCACTCAGTCCCCAGCTAGCAGAGCTATTTGGGAAGGTTGTGAACCTTTTGGAGGTGGATGCTTGCTGGAGGGCTGAGTCATGGGGGCTGGCCTTGAGGTTGTATCCAGGCCCCACTTCTTGGATGTGGTAGGACTGTGGCTCCATGCTGATGCTGTCATATACCTTTCCTGTCATTATAGACAGTGTCACTTCAAATGCTGAGCCAGCATGAATTCTTCCTCAAGTTTCTGCTTGTCAGGTATTCGGTCTCAGCAAGGAGACAAGTAATGAATGCAGATGTGCTGGGCTCATGTGGGGTGCAAAGGGGAATGACCTCTTGATCAACTGAACAGGCATTTGTGGGCTCTGGACAAGAAAGGTGAGCAAGAAGTACTTCAAATTTGGATAAAGATCTTTAAGTTTTTGCATACATATTTACTTTACCTTTAGAGTTCTTACTTTTTCTGGATAGTATTGTGTGTCCTCTTTTCTCAGTCAAGACAGTATGTTAAACTGACTGTGTTGGTGGACATGTGTAATCCCAGCCCTCTAGGGTCTGAGGAAGGATGATAGTAATACATAGTTTTAAGACTCTGTCTCAAAAACCAAACAAACTCCAAACACAGTCAAAATTCAATTGATCAAACAAACAAATAAAACTTACCACCATTACAAAGGAGCATCTTGGAAGAATTTATATTTCTAAGAAGAAATTCAAGACCCAAATAATCACGGTAAAATGTTTTTTTTTGCGGGGGGGAGCGTGAATTAAGGGATGATGAGGCTTTTAACCGATCCTTCTTGAGGTTGTTGATTTCTTTTAGTGCATATATGCTACGTAAAGTACATTACAGTCTACCATAGTGTTCTATCGGCACATGCACTTTTTCCTCAGGCTGTGTGATTGATTAAACACATGGCAAATTTAAGTTGCCCTCAATACGGCAGAGACTGAAAGTGGACTTGATTGATCTAAACATGAATATGACCGTGAGAGTATTCAGAATGATGGTGACCCGGACTATCATGGAGCTTTGGCCAGAGGAAATGTTATGAAATATATGAACAATGGCCACATTTGTAACTTCGGCCACAGCACACACATGTGAGCAGTGTTCATAGGGCATTGGTGCTGAAAATGATGGGTTTGAGGTCTTCCTTAGGCTCTGTAATGGTCCATCTCCATTGCCAATTTGACTGGATTTAGAATTTAGAAGACTGAGGGGCATCACTTAGTGTCTCTGAGAGTGATTTTAGGGAGCATTAACTGAGGAGGGAGGATCTACCCTGGATGTGGGTGGTATCGTCCCATGGGTTGGGGGCCTGGATGGATTGAAGAGAAAAGAAGAGAAAGCCAGCTCAGCGCTGGCATTTCTGCCTTTCTGTTCCCTGGCCACACCATGATGTGAGCTTGCTCTGAAATGTACCATTCATACCCCACTGTGATGGACTGAACTCAACTGTCTGTAATGGGTGTTTTAGTCGCAGTGAGGAACAAAATGAATATAGTCGTGTGATTGGCAGAGCATGTTCTGCATGGTCAGTGAAGGTTCTTGGTTTTATTAATCAAATAATTTAGTAATAGAATTGGAAGGACATATAAAAATGGTTTGTATTAGTGTTCAAGAGAAAAACAGTAGATCAGGCAATATTCATCTGGGAAAAGAAGCAGCCTTAATGACTGGAGAGCATTGCAATAATGTCAGTATTGGCTCAGAGGGAACCGAGGAAGTCGCCTGAGTGGGAATTACCTTGACCATCCTCCACCACCTCCTTTTGTGGTTGTTGTTTTGTCTGAGACAAGGTCCTCTTAACCAGGCTATCTCACTATGTAGCTGGAGATGAGCTGGAATGTCTTTATGTGTGTGTGTGTGTGTGTGTGTGTGTGTGTGGTGATGGTGTAGATGTCTTCCTGTGCTCATTGTGGTGTACATATGGCAGGCAGAAGTTGACCTTGTGTGTGATTCCCCAGGCACAGGGCACTTTGTTTTCAGACATGGCCTCCACTGGGATCCAGGACTCATTGGTTAGTCTGGTCTGGCTGGACCATGAGCATAGGAGTTCTCCTCTCTGCAGCTTCCCAGCACTGGAATTGCAAGCTGGACTGCAAGTCATCTGACCAGGGGCCTCACGCTCACACAGCAAGCACTTTCCTAACTGCATCATCTGCCCAGGCCTCATTGTCTTTTCTTTAAAAACCGAAATGTAAGGTGAGAAGTAACTGCACAGTCAAATTTCTGATGGACCCAGCAGTGGAACCGATGAACAGCTGGGACTCTGCTGGTGGGCGAGGCTGGCTGCATCCCGTCCCCAAAGGATCCCATCCTGCTCAAGGCTCGGGAGATAGCTCAATCACAAAGCAGTGCTTTACACCAGCTAGACAGGCGCTCTACCAGAAGAGCAGTGTCTCTAGTCCTGAGGGTTTTCGTCTTAAACAGACTGGCCTCCCTCTCTGGCAGAGGAAACCTGTGTTTCCCAGTCACTGCAGCTATCAGACGGTCCAATCTGGGCTCTGAGAGTCAGGTGGACTGGGCCTGACTCTGGTCTTCACGTGTTGCTAGCTGGACAAGTTCTGGAAACATTTCTATACTTTTAAAGCCTTGTTCTCCCTCCCCCCTCCTCCCCCCCCCCCCCCCCCCCCCCCCTCTCTCCCATCTTTCCTGGGTTGTTGTGTTTGCAAACTCTAAGGCTGATTGCCATAGTTATACACACTCAGTTCTTGACGACTCGCTGTGGTTTGAGTTCTGGGGAGAGGTGAGCACAGCTTCAAGGGGAATCAGGCCTAAATACCTGGCCATTAGCATTAAGGCCAAGGGGCCAAGGAAGAGCTGCAGGGTCGCAAGCACACTCATCAAGCTTAGGAAGTACTTGCTTCTCCTTACAGGGCATCTGTCCACTCAGCCCTGTGGAGTACAGAGAGGAAGTTAACCACACAAAGACGGCTCTCCCAGGACCTGGCTGCCCATCCTGTGCGTGGAGGTTGTTCCATTAAGATCATCAGCAGTGATACACCAATGGGAATCTGTGTCTTTCGTGCAGACCCCTGGGCTCAGCATGCCTGCCTTGTGGATACTCATTTCTCGTGTTCAGGTAAGATGCTTGACCACACAAGAAACACCACTGAGTCATATCAGAGAGCAACTTGAAAACCCCGAATCTGCGACTCAGGTAGGACGACTGGGCTCAGGGTAAAATTCCAGAAAGCTCTGAAGCTGGTGTTCTGACGTTGAGTCTGGTTCTGAAAAGGCTCAGGCAGCCTTCTTGTGCCTTGGGATGTCAAGCCATTGCACACAGCGTTGCCCTCTACACCATTCTTAAAACTGCTGGGTCAACCCCTTATTCTTATGAGATCATACCTGTTAGAGACGCTTACCCACCCACTGCTTTATTACACTTATTAGAGAATTGTAATCAATACTCGCTTTAAAATAAAAATCAGTACAGCTGAGCACGCCAGTGTGCCTAATTGCCAATTAAGGAGGAAAATGCCAGAAGGCAGCACTGGCTCACTTTTGGAGGTAGGGACCCAGACATACAAAAGTCTGCTCTCACAAAAAAAGGTGTGATAAATATTCCCCGCAGGGGCATAAAGAGCTCTTCTGGTTTAATGATAGGACTTGTGCCGCAGACCGAAGGGAGCCGAGGTTGGAGGTTAGGGTCGTGATAGACGAGCCAGGCGGCGTGGAGCAGGACCAGTGTCCTGTTTTAGGAGGCATGTCCCAAATAGAGTGCTAGCCTTATTACAGGGGGGGAAAGTCCTTCAAGTTCACCCCACAATGGCCTCCCTCCGTGCGGCCGCTGTCTGTGGGAGGTATCTGAAGGCCTCACAACAAAGACATCTGGCCCAGTTTCGCCACGGTCTCACCTCAGTGTGAGTTGTACATCTTCCCTACTGTTTGTTTCTTCTCCTGCTCACTCTGCTCAAATGAAAACCCAACTTGGCAGAAACATTCTGTTTCTATTCATTCTCTGGCATGCTGGGCGCAGGGAGCGCCCGCCATGCCTGTTAAAGGGATAACGCGGTGACAATGAGGCAGAGACCGGACACCGCGGGTGCCATTTGCACAACCAGTGGGAAGCAGGCATCTGAAAACACATGTGCGCTCGGCAAACCACTCACCTTTGCCATGAAGTGGCTTCCAGAATACACTGTCTGCCATGACAGATTTGAATGGGAACATTATTCATGAGGGTGAAGTATGTATGTACAAACAGTAGCACGATCCTGCTGGGAGGACAGGGAACAAGGCTCAGACCAGCCTTACAGCGCTCGACACATTCCTCCGGCAGCTGGATGCTGCCAGCGTAATTATTGTCCTTGGACCTTATCTCCGGGGCCAGAGTGGCATGGGGGCCGCTGCTGCATGCAGGTGGACGGTGAAAGGGGATAGCCAGCTGGATTCTGCCTTTCGAAGCTGCACTGTGATGTCTGCCTATTCTCATTCCGGGGTGCAGGTGGGGTTGGCTCGTGCTAGCCAAACCCCAAGGCAGGACGGGATGGTGCTGTCGTTTGAGAGATCCTCTGGTCAGTTCTGAGAGCAGCTCTGCTGCCGTGCTGCTGTGGAGAAGGAAGGATGCACATCTGCATCCTCTGCCTAAGGCACAGGGCCGTGTGTCCTGGGAAACGGAGGAGGCAATACAGCGGGACAGATTCACAGCCACTGAGAGTGGATATCCCCAAGGTTGACTGTGTGTTATTCCCAGGCCTAAGCAGGTCCTGGCCAGAAATAGCCCACTGTCTTTGGTGACTTCAGGATAGTTTGCCACTAGACAGGAAAGACAAACAGCCAACATCACACCAGGAGGGCTGGTGTCTTCTCTAGAGGAACAAAAATTGATAGGATGATACATGTTACAAAAGGAAAATACTCAACTGGGTATGGTCGAGGCGGTCTGACAATGTCTGCCTTCACATTGGAAAGGCTGAGAACCCTGCATCTGTTCAGTCCATGAGGCTGGATGTCTCCGCAGCCACACTCGGGCACAGAAGGCCTGGAGGATTCCTCCAGAGCCATTGACCCACACTGGAAAGCTGGAGAACGTAGATTGTGATGTCTGTGAAGGACAGCAGCAGCAACAAGGCAGATGCACTGACCTGCAGGGGAGGAAGGCAGGCAGGCAAGCTTTTCTTTTAGACTTCTCTGTGTGTGGGCCTCCAAAGGAAGGCGCCACCCACTCTGGAGGAGGAGCTACCCATTTCAGTTAATGTTTCCTGGAAATGTGCTAACCAACTTACCCAGAGGTGTATTCTTAGTTGGCTTCAGCTCCAGTCAAGCTGGCAACCAGGATCTGCTATGGCTGGTGAAATTCCTGTGGTGAAGAAAGAACCGCAGGATTCTAAAGACTGTGCCAAGACCCCATTCCTTCTGTACTCCTAAAAGGACGCTGTAGTCCCACGGACCCCTCCCTCTAATGAGGCCTTCCTTGGAGGAACTCTAGGAAGGTAGCAAGCAGCAAGAACACATGGTATCCCAAAGAGGATGGCCTTTCCGGTTTAGAAAATGAATGGAGTTCTGTTACCTCATGACCATATGAGATTTCTTCCAGGTTCCCTGCTCTGCCAGGCTTCTGACTCTGAACCCTGTGAAACGATCTCCAGTCCAATGTCTTCCTGTCAATCATCCCCACGAGGGGAGGAGCCATGAAGTGCAGATAACCTAAAACCCTCAGAGCCTGGTGTCCCCCGCCCCCCCACTCTGCTTGTTTATAGAACCAGAGCTCAGCTCAGCCTGTGGCAGGCACTGAAAACCCTGCACATTTGAAGAGGGAGCCTTCTTGAATTTTCTAAACCTTTCACATTCTTTTGGGGGTTTGTGGCCAAACTTTTGGGGTGGATTTTTTTGTGTGTGTTAAAGATAAACAAATATGGCTGGGGATATAGCTCAGTTAGTAGATTGCTTGCTTAGCATGCAAAAAACAAACAAACAAACAAAAACCCTCCTGGCTCAATCCCCAGCACTGGTTACCCTGGGTGTCAGAGGAGCATGCCTGTAATTCCAGCATTCAGGAAGTGGAGAGAGGACATTCTCAGCTACATAATGAGTTTGAGTCCAACCTAAGACACATGAAACCCTGTCTTTAATTAGACAGATGAATAAATAAATACGAACAAACCAAGATAAACAAGAGAATTTTGTGTTTAATTAACACAAGTTGAGACCTGAGCCCAGGCTGGTAACTGGCAGCCCAGTGATTCTCCCTGGAAGGAATGGGAAGCAGTGAATCCTCTAAAGTGTAATCTGGTAGCAAGGGCTGCCCCATAGGAGACCCAAATCTACCACTACTTAGCTGTTTTACTGGAAAAAGGGGCACACACTCATGGGTCTCAGCCTCTTCACTTTAACTGGGACGAAAGCCACCAGCCTAGTCCCACAGGTGTCCCTTGTACAAGCCAGTACCTGTGACAATAGTCAGTTCATTGTGACGCTCACGTGGCTGATGCTGTGCTGTTCCTCATGGGCACTGGTTCATTTAATCATCGTGGTCACCCTAGCGGGTATACCTAGTTACCTTTAGCAATGAATAAAGCAAGGCCCAGACAGGTGAAATTATTTCATAGCAGTAGAAAAAGCAGCATTCATCCTTTTTCCTGTATCACCTAACTTCCTTTCAGAATAGAGCTTGGCTCTGAGTAAATAGTCCAAACTCACCACCTGCCACTATGGGAGTTGGTGGTGTGGGGAGGCAGGATGCTGGGGTTCTGACAACCTATGTAGCTTCTCTGCAGTGAGGACAGAATCCCATTCAGGATCTCCTCCTGGCTTACCATGGCTCCTAGTCACTGCAAAACTGCAAAGCCCCTTGGTGTGAGTGCAGCTTTTAACCTGCTTCTTCCGTCTCGAATCAGGGACTTGGAGGCTGTTTCTGAGATCACTCCGCTGGAGGAGGGACCCTGAGGATACAAGAGGAGAGGTAAGGAGGGGAGGTGGAAGCGACGGAGGAGGGAGGCTGGAGGCTCATCTCTCTTACAGTTGTCCCAGAGGATAACGTGATCCGTGTCGTAGGACATCATTAAAGTTCGTATTCTGAGACTTCACCAGCTGTTTCAGCACTGGGATGGAGCTGGCAATCGCAGGCTCACAGGGCCCCTTTGGCAGATGAGGAATTCAAAGTATGGTGAGGTCATGGGACTAGGCAGTACAAACTCAGCCCCAGGACCCCAAAGTCTGCCTCCCTGCAGCAGCACGATTTATTTCCCTATTCTCTGATAAGCTTTAAGACGAGATATTGGGCATGACCTTTGCAATAAATCTAAGTTTCAGTGTCGATTCCCTCCGTGGCCCCGGCTTAGGAGTGAGGGTCAGGAGTTCTTCTTTGCTGGTTTTGGCACCAGTGCTAAGCCATTCTGGTGGAGGCCTTGTCATTTGCCTTGTAGTTTCCAGTATCTTCCTCATGAAGCCCGGGCTTAATGATGCTTCCCTGCCTTCTGGGTATATAGCGAGGAGGGTTAATTAGACAATGTTTGCACGGGGCTTTGAAGATGAAAGCACCGTATAATTGGTATTACATCTCATCTCTTCCAGAGACCAGGAATGCTTCTACTTCAGGGAGTTTCAGCGTGTCTTCACTTGTACCATTCACTTTAGGATAAAACTTGTCAAGCACCAGTGAACTAATGATATCATGTAGTGAGCCAAAGAGCAAAAATAAACAGCTCACACGAAGGACTCCAAGGAACATCAGGAAGCAGCTGTCAGGGTGATGAGATGAGCCCACCCATCCAGCTGGGAACCGCCAGGAAGTGCTGCTTCCTAGGATGTGGTCTCCAACCCAAGGGGACCCAGGTCGAGAAAGCTCCAGACTGCAGAGTGCCATCCCAGATGGGAGAGGCAAGGAAAGACATTTTAGAAGAACTGAGATGCAGGGCATGCTATGGAGAAGAGGATGTCAAGCAAATGGTTTTCTTGGACAGTCATTTCAAGGGCTTTCTGGTTGGCTTCTGTGTCCCTGATAGTGTTGCGACCCATCAGTCTGTCCCCCAATGTCAAGCTGATTGGCTGTTTCTTTGTGATGAACCCACAGCTCCTCAGCCTTCTGTGCCCTCCTCTTGCCCAGTTTTCTTAGACTTTTACTATGATCTTGAAGGCCCTTTACCTCTTCTTGATTTTTACTTTTCCTTCTCTCACTGGCTTCTGTGGCACTCTCTCCCCAAGCAGCTCTTGCAGATTCCATCACACTCAGGCTGAAAAGCCTTCACCAGTCACAGGACCGGTCATCCACACAAATCAATGATATCCAATAACATTTACTTAGGTAAATTCTTGTGGCCCACTACTCTTGCAACACGCATGGCGTGCTCATGTGAACACCTGGCCCCCGGGGTGGTGCTGTTACTCGAGGTTGAGGTTGTGCAATCTTCTGGAGGGATGGCTTACCTTAGAGTTGAGTCACTGAGTCGCTGGGTGAGCCACTGCGGGTTTTCACTTGGTCCTGCTTCCTGTCCCTCTGTGCTGTTTGGTTCACTAACATGTAAGATGCTGCCTCCTGTCACCACAGTCCAAACCTTTCCAGTCACCACACATTCCCAGCCACGATGGATTGCACTTTCTAAATCTAAGCCCAATTGAACTTCTGCCCTGTTACTGGAATTGTTAGGGTCAGGGTCTGGGCCCTGGCAGCCCTGACAAGCTAGGGTTGGCCCCTCAGTCTCAATGGGACAATTAGACAAGCCACAGCAGAAAGGAGAGGAAGATTTATTCAGTATGGCCGCCTTGGGAAGAGGAACAAATCAGCCCCAGTGACTCACACCCCAGTCTATCTTTTTGGTACCGACATGAGGTTTAGGTTTAAACAGAGGGCAAGAGGTGTGCATAGCTACCCAGGCCCAGTCAAGGGGTCTTGCCCATCACTAAGGAATCATCGGCTCAGCTCCTACAAGGTGGCCTAGCAAACTGTCAGTCTGTGAGAAATCTCTTCTTGGGAGACATCTCCCCCTCTAGCTGGCACCTCATTCACGCCTCAGTCCTTTCTCATCTCCCAGGAAGAGATTCCTGGGGGAAATTCCAGTTCCTTGGCATCCGCTGTCTGATAGCTAAAGGGAGAGACTAGGTGTCTTTCTTCTTGATATCAGATAAACCCTCTCTGGTTGCTTTCTGTTGGGTATCTCATGACAGCCAAAAAAATAAATAAATAAATAAATAAATAACACCCCCAAAGGTTTTATTCTCTTCCTTGAAGAATAGGAAGCTATGTCCAGTGGGAGGAATTTTAACATGGGAATGACATAGACCAACTCTAAGATTGAGGAGGATTTGAATTGCAGTGGGAGGGGGAGGGGGGAGATGGAGTGAGGTCATTCAGAGACAAGAGAGGGAACCTGATATGCAGCGGTGAGAACAGGAAGGAAGAAATAGTTTGGTGTCTGGGTGGAGGTAGAGGGTGCCGGTGGGGATGAGGAGGACACTCGTGGCTTTGGGTAGCTAGAGAGAGCGAATCTAGGCAAACCTGGGCTGGCATCTTGAGCAAGGTCGTCCTCCTGAAGTGGGTGTCCCATTCTTTCCTGCTGAGAATGTCATTAGAACAAAGCACAGCAGCCCTGACCTCCTAAAACTGCTGCACCCGGAAGACCCACACAGGAAGGGCCTGAGTTCCAGGCTAGCCTTGGCTGTGGAGTGAGAAGATTCTGTTTCAGGAAAATGCCCGTAAAGGTGCCCAGGCTTGGTACCCTTGCTTCTCAGTGTCTTTTTAAACTTCAGCCAGTGGTGGGGCTGACCCACCAGGGTACAGTTCCTTGGCAATATTCTTTGTGCATTTTCCCCCAAGAGTCTTCTAGGTGCTTCTTGCTTTACGGAACTGGGGATGTTGTCATTTACTAAGGGGTCTTTCCTTTTCATCGACGTGCAGGCTTGTGGGGGAGGTGAAATGCTTTTATTTTCACCACTAGGCCGTGGGGATGGCTTCCTGGCCTATGTCAGGTGGAGTTAGAATACTGAATACCATTCCCTGGGGCCAGCTGCCTAAATTCCCCTCTCCTCCCTGGCACAGCTGAGAGGTGAACTGTTTGTTCTTCCTCCAAACACCCGCGGATATCTGGAGAGGAGATGTTTTATATGCCAGTCACATTTAGGCTCGATTAGCTTTATTCTGTAGGAGGATACAGAAAAAGTCCAAGAGGAACCCTGGATATTTCTTACACACCCAGGGCAACAGATGTGGCCATTTTCCTCTCAGTTAAAAAAAATCCAGATTTGGTAAATGAATTTGCTGGCCCGTGCTGGAGATCCCAGCAAATGTTTCATCCTGTGTCCTTGCAAAGAGTGAGACATGGCTGCTATGTCATTGTTAGAAGTTAAGAATTAAAAAAAAATATGTGATGACAAGTTCTCAGGGCAAATAGCAATGCTGATTCTTCATAATACATGTCTATCTTAGAAAGAAATTGGGTTGTCTAAAAATTAAAACACAAAATACTAACAATCCCAGTCTAGTTCAATTTAAATTACATTTCAAACCATCTTTCCTTTTATGACATCTCTAGCTATTGGAAATTCATGATTAATTCTTAAAGCATTAGCTTAGGATTACTAACGCAAACAGCTTTAGAAATAGCTTACTACTTGTAAAAGATGGTATAATAATATAGCTGATATTAGCTGCACCATGCAGATAACACTCACTCACACTCACACACACACACACCATACACTCAGACATTTGGACACACATAAACACACAGACATACA